CTGTCAGTCCCGTTGTTTTCTCCTCCAGATTGTTCATCCAGCCTGTCCTATCCAGACAGACCTGCCCTATTAATTTCTTTTATTAAATTCTGTAACATAGTTCCTGTACTTATTTACAGGCACAGAAAGCCTCCTCTTTCTCTCTCGGAGTGGTTGGTGGGTTAGAACTACCAACCTTGTGGTTAGCAGTTCAACTCAGAACCCACTGTGCCACCAGGGCTCCTTATTCTGCCGATTCCAAACTTGAGCCAAACTCCCCGCCGTCGAGTCAGTTCCACTCTAGGGGCACTATGCTTTTGCCAACTAGAACCTGACGGACACAGCAGGTTGGAAAGCTACCACTTCATTCACAAGAGCAATTCTAAGGCATCAGTCGCACCTGAGTGGGAATCCCAATTGTGCTCCTGCACAGCCAAACTCCCTGCCGTCGGGTCAATGCCGACACATGGCAACCTTACAGGACAGGGCAGAACTGCCCTTTATGGGAGTAGAAAGCCCCCTCTTTCTCCCTCAGAATAGCAGGCAGTTTTACACTGCTGACCTGACAACGTCTTCAGGGCTTCCATTTCAACTATTCATTATTCGGTTAATTAAAAAAAATGGTCCACCTCTTTATGTCTCATTTTTCTCCATCATTTTCACATATGCAATGAACACGGACTGAGCACCTACTCCCTGCTGGGCCCTATGATCAGCGACAGAGCTACAATGGTATGTGGAAGTTCAATTCCCCGACCTACTGAGTATTGCGCTTGAATACGGAGATAGTGAGCATGAGAGAGTTGGTCGAGTGGCCTGCATGTCACCAACCTCACCAGCCTTCCTGTCCGCACCTTAACAGGGGAACAAAGAGGAGCGATCCTAGAGAAAAACGTGCATCAACAGTTAGGTCTCCTCAGACAATGAGATGAGGGTTTCCCCCCAACGAGGCTGAAGGGATCAGTCAGCATAAGCCTAGGGATTCCTTGCAAGGCCCAGCCATTTCTCCTGCTCGAAGCAAAGAAGAAATGATTTCTGCAGTAGCATTCCTTCTGAAGGAAATGGGACAAGCCAGGAGGAGAGAGGGACAAGTAAGAGAGCACGAGGAGCAGCCAATCCGGGCTGGGCCTGGGGCCTGAAGCAGGGGATGGGGGAAGCAGTTAGGTTTCCCAACATCCCTAAGATGTTTATCATAAAGAGGGTGTTTGGGTTTTTTTTAACCATAAAAATTAAGTACACACAGATAAGAGCCGGAAACACAGGGAATCCAGAGCAGACAAACCCCTCAGGACCAACAATGAGTAGCGATACCAGGAGGGTAAAGGGAAGGTGGGGGAGAAAGGGAGAACCGATCACAGTGAATGATCTACATATAACCCCTTCCCTGGGGGATGTACAACAGAAGAGTGGGTGAAAGGAGACATCAGACAGTGTAAGACATGAAAAAATAATGAAAATTTATAAATTATCAAGGGTTCGTGAGGGAGGTAGGGTAGGGAAGGGAGGGGGGAAAATGAGGAGCTGATACCAGGGGCTCAAGTAGAAAATAAATGTTTTGAGAATGATGAGGGCAACAAATGTACAAATGTGCTTGACACAATGGATGGATGGACTATGATAACAGTTGTATGAGCCCCCAATAAAATGATTTAAAATTTTTTTCCTAAAAAGAGCTACAAAAAAGAAATTTCTCACTCTCTAATCTGTGGCTGGAAGGGCATGCTTCTATTTTATTTAATTTTTTTAAAAAGGAACAAAAAAGGGAGTAAGTTCTCATAAAAATGAAGGAATTCATGGTCTTTT